TACTACTTAGCGTCTGTGCTCTATTACTTAAACGTTTCCCCAATCCTACTTTCACTGACATACGATGGGATGATCGGAAGTTTAAATATCTGTTTGAATGTGTAGGTTTCCTGTAAACACCAGTGTTCAGCTTCCCATTTGCTTTATTTTTTACGCTACAATCTAACATTGGCAGTTCCCCTTCCTGACTTACCAATTCACAAGTGAATTGAATAAATAATGATAATAGCGATAGTGATAATAATAATAATAATAATAATAGTGGTAATAATAATAATAACGACATCATATTGTTCATAATCATATCAATTGTGATATGATTATGAGCAGTGATAAATTTTGTTGGAAACTTTGTCATCCAGTAAATAATACTGTTTCACTGACTGTGTGATACATCTAATAAACAAACTAATATGGAATTTAAGTATGTTACTCTGATTTTTTATAATCGTATTAATTCCAGGTAGTTTACAGCTAACGAGAACCTGTGAAATACAGTGTTGACGTCGTTTTATATTGCCACTTTTGTCTTTCTTGCTTTGTCACAATCTAATAATAATATCTTGAAATCAACTTCTCTTCTAGTGTCGTTGTTGGTCGTCACATGCCTTGTTGATTTCTTAGCAAATCATTTGTTTGACTTATTACGTAAAGGAGTTGACAATTTCTGGCATAACTGGACCTATTCTCTTTTATTTTATTAATTCTTGTATTCTAACCATTCTTCTCTACCGTTCCTCCTAATTTCTCTTTGTACTCTTCAGAATGGACTATACTATATTTCGTAGGACATTGAAGATTGTAAGTAGGATCAGTAGAATGCCTTTAACCCAACTAACTGCTTTTGTTGATGACAGGCACTTTGATTCCCGTAAGTATGTGGTGAGAGCAGCCTGTTAGCCAATTGGTTGACATTAATCTACGTCAATGTCTAGGTCACTAATATGGGCCGTGAGAAAATATGAACAAGGCTGTTTCAACAACCAATCACAGCAAACTTAAACGTGAGCAAATATGATTCGCAGATAGATGTCTCCACTTTCCGAGGAACTTGAAAACAACCAATCAGAAGACTGCGTTTGTCTGTTGTTACAAGTAATCAGCCTAAGTCATCTTATCCGACAGTGAGCGTCCTCTTTATTACTCCCATCTTCCTCCTTGTATTTCTTCGGGTGGAACGCGGCGAAATTTCATAAGGATTTCAGCTCGCATCGTACCATATTTAACGTGGGAGTTTGTGAAAAGAGAGAGATTTTAGCAGAGAACTTATAAACTATTCGAGTCAGTATATAAAAAAAAATTATAACAAAATAATCACCTCAATTTTAAATCGAATGCATGAAGTTCAATACAGCACATCACATCTGGACATACTGATTAGTCGACGGATGGCTTGATGGGTCAATAAAAAGATCTATTTATAGAAAACATTACCTGGACAGGACAATATATTAGTTACCATAGTTTCTGCCTGCCATGTTCGGTAAAAAAGAGCCTTAGTAAGGTGCCTCTTCATTAGAATCCAACGAATATGCACTTGATGAAGAAGAAAGAAAGTTGACACAAACTCTGGTTGATAACAATTATCCAGACAAGTTCATCAGGAGACTTAAAATAGTTAGAACACCAAAACCCACTCTACAACTCGCCCCTAAGAAAGACGTGTACATCAAGCTACCCTATATGGGACAGCATAGCAGCTTGATAACTAGACAAAGACTGAACGCTGCAGTTAAAAAGACTTTTTATGCAGCTAATATCATAATAATTCAGAATGTGAAGCCAATATCTCCATCTAAGTCCTTCGAACATGCGAAAAATGATGTCACATCCCACTGTATTTACTGATATGAATGTACGTGTGAACATACATACATAGGGAGGACTCATCGATCTCTGCAAGTAAGGGCTGACTTGAGAGCATATTCTCCAATGGCTCCAGAAACAAATGGATTCTTCAAAACCCATTAATGGTGAGAACAGGAGACCCAGCTCCTCTATTGCGAAACATATTATAGAGACAGAACATAAAATTGACGTTAACAGATCTTTTAAACCTATCTATAAGACGTGTTTGGGGCGTATCCTATAGTTTGTGGAATCCCTAGCTAGCAATTAGAAAGTTTAAACCACCTTTATGAGATCATAGCAACAATTCGTCATCACATTAAACCTTCCATGGTAAATTTTCTTTGATACCAAAACAGATGTACTATTACCTCGGCTATTTGATTTCGTGGTCTTCATTGTTATTTTGACCTTTCTCACCTCTTACCTCTTTATTAATTTCACACATATTCCTATGACAAGTTTGTGTGTGATCAGATTGTTCGAAATGTGTTGCGCAAATACATTACACACACGATTCAGACAAATTACGACTTCTTATTGCTTAATCTACACTGGAATAATAGAAAAGATGCGTAGCTCATATGGATAATCTTAACAGCTGATTTGCGAATCTTTCGTCGTCTTTCTAGAAAACATCTTCAGGTTTTAATATGGAAAGACTTGCACTGAAGATGCTATGCAGAAGGAAGACGAAAGATTCACAATTGAACCATCAACCATCTTAGAGAACAGAATTAATTCAAAAAGCAGTAATTATTATTCAGAAGATTCTTTTTGTATGAAATTTCAGTTTTTGTGGATTTTTTAATTTTACGATTTTATTGATTTATTTGTATTTCAAAGGAGAAAAAATGTCACAATATGTACAACACTCAGAATTTTATTCTGTATAAAATGTCATTGTTTGGAATAAGACGGTTATTATCATAATTAAGTTAAAGCTACAAAGTTCGTAATATCATGCATCTTCCATTTCGTCAAACTACACTTTAGTGATTAAAGTGAGTTCATTAAATATTAACTGAATACATTTTTTAAACCTCTTGTAAATGTTTCAGGTCTTTTTAAAGAGTTATTTTTAAGAGTACATATTCGACAATTCCATATTAGTTTGTTTATTAGATGTATCACACAGTGAAACAGCAGTATTATTTACTGCATGACACAGTTTCGAACAAAATTTATTTACTGTTCATAATCATATCAATTGCAGTCACACAACTTCGGAAGCTGAGTTTGAGAGTTTTCTTTGTTCTCTCCTATTTGTTGTCGTTGTAGAGGTAGTAGAATTTTCCAGATATCCGAATGGACAGGTGTTGAATCACTCCTATTATACGTATTGTCTCTCATTTGATTCGATAAACAGAGCTTCCGCTATCAATCTCTCCCTCTCTCCACCCTTCTATGACACTACATTTTAAAACTGTCATCTTATTCCATCCATCCTATTGTATGGTTGAGTGTAATTGCATGTTGTAATTGCGATAGCTGAACTATTCTCTAGATTTCTTATCTTATTTGGGTCAACCAATCTAGATTTTGTTGCTGGGTTTCGATGCTCGGCTAGTGTGACTGCCCCTGTTTTGCTAATTTGACTTATGTAATTCCACACGAGGAAGGAACCTCGGAAACCACCTTACTCAGAATTCTTAACAAGGCAGGAATAAAAGTGTCTGAAATTCAAACCCACAAACTCAATTAGAAACAAGCTTTTTCAGTTAAAGGATCAATCATGTGGAGCCTTTAAAACAAAACAATTTAGTTTATCTAATACCCTGCCTGCAATGATTATCAGGTCAAATACATAGATCAAACTAGTCGAACAGGGGCAGTCACACTAGCCGAGCATAAAAACCCAGCAACAAAATCTAGATTAGCTGACCCGAATAAGATAAGAAATCTAGAGAATAGTTCAGCTATCGCAATTACAACATGCAATTACACGCAACCATACAATAGGATGGATGGAATAAGATGACAGTTTTAAAATGTAGTGTCATAGAAGGGTGGAGAGAGGGAGAGATTGATAACGGAAGCTCTCTTTATCGAATCAAATGAGAGAGAATACGTATAATAGGAGTGATTCAACACCTGTCCATTCGGATATCTGGAAAATTCTACTACCTCTACAACGACAACAAATAGGAGAGAACAAAGAAAACTCTCAAACTCAGCTTTCGAATTCGTGTGACTGTAATTGATATGATTATGAACAGTAAATAAATTTAGTTCGAAATTGTGTCATGCAGTAAATAATACTGCTGTTTCACTGTGTGATACATCTAATAAACAAACTAATATGGAATTACTTACTACCACAGTGCCCAAGTTTTACACACCTATTAACACACTCGAGAAGCCTGATATGTGTCATTTTGGAGCTTTTCTATTTCTACAGGAATGAATATAAACATTCTCACAGTCCGTAATTTTTGTCACATTAGCCAGAAGAGTTCCAAATAACCTCTTTTTATTTTACCTTAAATAGTCTTAAAATTTATTCTATTTGAATACGTTGTTTGTTTTTCAAGGAATATTTCTAAGTAACTGAGCCATTTTCATCCCTGTTTGGTTATCATTAATTACAAGGTAAACAGTTTAGTAATTAACTAGTTATTTGTATACATTATTATCTTACGATAATGTCCATTTCAAATGAAAATTTAATGATTGTACAGCATGACATATAAAAAATATATTAACTCAGAACATACGAGAAATGTTCTGTAATAGCGTGTTACAATACCTGACATTTTGTGATTTATCTGGCAGTCAAATGGTTCACCAGAACTACTACTTCCAAATCAGTGAAAAACTATTCTATAGACATTTATCTTAAGAGTATTTCAGGCAATTTTTGGCCACTATAATTTATATAAAGATAAATGACTTGCTCATATTGATAAAAAAATTGTATGTCACAGTAAAGTTTAATGATTTGAAAAAAATATAAATAAAAATTTCCCTGTGCATATAAGAATACTATGAAAATTGACATCTCCTCATGAACAACACATAATTTGTAAAGAGGACACAAAAACAAAAACAAAACTGAGGAAAAAGTCATGAAAATTAAATGACCTCGAAAAATAAAAATTTCAGCATTTAAGGTACTGGTAAACGAAAGATAATTAACACGAGGGACTCACCAGTTCATTTTCAAGCTTCCTCCTTAGATTTTTCTTGCGTTCTTCAACTTTGACATGAAGATCCTTCAATTGCTTTTTATGGGATTTAAGCAGTAATTTGTAATTATTAGAGTATTCTTCATTCAGGTTCTAGAATCAGTATAAAAACCAAGGAGAACTATTACTTTTTCTTCATTTAAGTAGGTTTCTATCAGAAGTTGTCTTTTTTCTTTACATGACTTTTGAAAATTTCGCAAATCACGAGCTATTTCTTTCTCACAAAACATGGTGCATTCGTAGTCCAAATGTTTGTCTTCGTGCAAACGGTAGCTGTTTAAGGCGAAGTTGTAAATCAAGTATGAAGAAAGAATTGTAGTGTTTTTTGATTTACATTCAACATTTTATGCCGGAAATATAGTCATAAATTTGTTTTATCGAATCACATGTTTAAGAGACAAGGTCGTAATTATTTTAACTTGAACTTGCTCAAGGTCGGTTGCCGTGATTGCTGTTTTTAGGTCTATTGGTTGTTTGTTATCATTGAATTCTTTAGGACTTGTTTAGTTGAAGCATTGAAACAGTTATGTGTTAGTTTATTTACCTGCGATAAATCCTAGACACCTTTTTCAGTTTAGGTTACTTTAATGAAGTAACATTTACAGCAAAAACTTTGCCATCTTTGTACTAATCACTCTGAATAGTATTATTACCGTTATGCGTTTGTTTTTCAGCATTTTTTGCAATTCTTGATCTTCGTTCATGTGTCTTTGTTCGCTGAATTACTCATTTCCAGTTTTGTTCGATATCCTGTATTATTATTATTATTGTATCCTTTAGTTCCTAGAGGAACATAGGGCTTCAGCTGCGCACCTCCATTGACTTCGGTTTTCTGACAACTTTTTCACCCTGCTCCAGGTCTGTCCACATGCTTTCATCTCCTCCTCGCATGACCTCCTCCAAGTCACCCTTGGACGACCAACTCGCCGCCTCCCTTTTGGGTTCCACTCGAGGGCTTGTCTAGTGATGTCACTTGATGGTTTCCTCAGCGTAATGGTTCAACTAGTTTTATGTTAGCTTAACATATATAGCCGACACAAAGTTTACCAAGCCAGTATACGTATATGTTGCTTCTGTTTGGTTAGTATTTAGGATACTGGTGAACAAAAGGTTTTCGTGCGCGGCATTAGTACCTGCTGGGATTTCCATCATATGTAGCGAGAATCTACCCTCCTTTCAGACAGGTAGCGAGGAAAAAAGATCATGCAGTGAAGCAGCGACACAAAAGCAGTTTCAGAATGTGGTTACTAGTTGTGAAGCTTCCATCACAGCGACGAAAAAGTATCTAACGCCGTAGGTTGGGTTAGTGGCAACCACTAATCACAGTTGATAAGTCATCAAACCCTATTAATAACTTAAAATCGTGAGGTTTTTTATGCAAAGTTATAATTTGGAGGAGCCAGACACTGGTAAGCATCCTGTAAGTATTAGGGCTAATATGCTTTGACCATTATGAGTGAAACCTCTTCATAAACCCTGGATAGGTGGGTGCACCTAAGTTTTCAATTGGAAAACAATTATGGACATCAGACCAAAGCGTGGCATCAATCCATGAAGTCTCCGGCTGTTGGTTTGAGTCACATTGTGAGGTGTAGACAATTTAGCTGTGGTCCCAACACAAAAGTGCCAGGAACCAGTAGCTAAAGACTGTTTGTAATATGCCTCGAAGTCGCTTTCCATAATTCAGGTGCATTCATTCCTTGATGCATTAAATCTCCATTAACCTGTTTGTAGTCTTGTTCCTTGTCCCACATATTTTCGTTAGTTTACGTCATAGTTTCGTTATCTACTTTTTTGTGGGCTGTTGCATAGTTTGGCGACTTGAATTGTTGCATTTCCTCTCATAGTTTTACGCTAAAGTGTCAGTCAGTTATATCTAACTGTTATTGGTAAAAAATAAATGATTTCGGAATATATTCATGGGTATTTGAATCGTAGTCTTTTTTTTGAGTAGACCGAATTTTTGGGTGTTTTCGTGATACAAATCACTTCTTGTCTTATTGATTTGTAGGAGCTTTTATTGTTTCTTTGTATACACTTTTCCAAAAGTCTCTACTTACATATTCACATAACTCAAAAATACCAGGAATGCTCACTGTTCTTCTTAGTGGGGGTGTATGATGGTTGGGATGTCGTGAAATTGACTCAAGGAGTTATTTTCAACTGAAAGTACCACGAGTGTTAACTACTGTTAAAGGTTCAGTCTCATAAATGTCACTTGTTTCAGTAGATAGTGGATTTTTGTTCATACCGGCATACAGAGAAACCTGTAGAGTTGCAGACCCCGAAAAACTATGTATCCCAGCTTATGTTACGTTGTTTCGTAGCTGGAAGTGGTTCCCTGTACAGACAAAACTCTACAAACTCAACTTCAGACTGGCTAACATCCACCTTATACCAAACTCACCGGTTTCAACGTAGAACCCTGCACAGATGTGCATCAGTTCGAGTTGTCACTCTCACCCCTCCCCTTGTAACACACAAAGCAAGAGAAGAGAGTAAAGGGAGGTTTAAAAGACAGATATTAAACAGAAGTGTGAGGGAAGAACAGTATAGTTTTACTTGATATGACAAATCATGAAGAGTGAATGCACCTGCGCCAATGAGAACAACTTTCAACCATATTACCAATTGTCTCCAACCATTTGTTTTTTTACCATCCTGAAGACCTCAACCAAGAAGTTTACATCTTCCTACGTTGCTCAAACTAACTGTTGTAGATTTCATTGACTGATGAAACCATGTTTCAGTTTGACTACCACTGGCTCTTCTCCAATCTGATCGGTCCTATGTCAGGCATACATATATTCTCCCTAACATACGCAGCATATAACAAAGTTTTGAGTGTTGGCCTTAATAGGCAAGTTACTTTCCTCCCTTTGATATTTGAATCCTCCCTTCTGTCCTAACGTATTACATCATCAAGTCCTGTTTGATAATCCTAGCATTTCTGTTGTGTTTTTTAAAACGTTGAGGGATAGTGTGTATCTTATATGAATAAAGACTTAGTTGCTAGTACACACCATAGTCCCCACCATATAAGCCATACTTGTGTGTGTAAGGAGCTTATGATACTATTCAATTGATCAGTCTGAGGTTGGGTGGGGGGAATGTGATTCGAACCTGAGACCTTTTTGGCCGAAAGTTGAGCCTTTAAGCGAATTGGCCACATCTCCACGTCTTGTGGCGGTTAATCCCAGCGTTATGGGTTCGAGCCACATGCCGGTTGTCGTCATGTTTTTCCCATGTGTGATTTTCGTATGCTAGTGCAAATAAAACTCGAATTAACCATTTCCCAAATCCCACTTGCTTTAGTTAGAGTGGTCGAGTTGAGTCGTGAAACTTCACACCTTTAATTGTTACATAAGAAACCGTGTTCAATTACTCAATTATGTTCATAAATCTCTATCTATCCTACACTAACTTGTAACTTATCTTGTATATTTTGGGGACATTTAGGAAGAAATCTCTTGAGTTCCGAGTGGAACAGAGGGTTTCGTCAAAACGCTCCCATTTCACTTCGTCTTCAACAGTCTCTTTTACCTGGTGCCACGATTATTGCCCATAGGCTTCTCCATGTCGCCCTCCGACGCATGCCAAACTTGTCGTTTTCCATTCAGGTTCCATTCGAGAGCGGCGGCCTAGTGCGTGATGTCAATCAATGGTCTCAGAGTATGCTCAGAGGAAGTCCGTCGGGTTGGTGTAAGTCACTGATTATCCCGATATACAAGAAGGGAGACAAGTCTTCCTGTGATAATCACAGAAGGATTAGCTTGACTAATATACTGTCTAAAGTCCTAGGCTCAATAATCATGCGTAGACTAAGTGGTGCTCGGGAGGCACAAACACGAGAGAGCCAGACAGGTTTTAGATCAGGAAGAGGGTGTATTGATCATATCTTCACCCTTCGACAGATTCTAGAACGTAGGCATTCTTTTTCCGGCGTAGAACAGTCGTTATATTTCTTGACCCAAAGGTGTCATTCAATTCTGTCGACCAAGAGGTTCTCTGGCGATGCTTGGCTGTGAAGGGGTAAATGACGAGAAAGTACATTGCATTGATCAAGGCACTCTACTCGTACTCATGCCATCAGCCAGGTGAGGGCTTACGGCGAGTTGTCATCTGAAATGGTGACGACTACCGGTGTCTGTCAGAGAAGGATGTCTATTAACATCATTTCTATTCAATTTCATCATAGATATTGTACTAATGGATTTAACCCTAACTGACTTCAGAGACTCAGGGATTGACTTGTTACCGTCAGGGAATAATCTCGCTTACTTAGAATATGCAGATGATATAGTCTGTCTGTCTGTCTGTTTTCGACATAGAACTTTGCACAAATGTGCGGAAGTTCAAGTCGCCACACTCCGTGTAGCACGCGAAGCACGAGAAGAAAGTACAAGAAAAGCATAATAGATGCAGTGAGCAGAGGTGTGAGACAAAGGAGTAATAAAGAAATACAAAACAGTTTCGTTGAAGATCATAAGTCACAGGGAGTGGATGCATCTGCGCCACTGAGAACGGTTTTGAGCCATGTCACCAATTGTTTCCAACCATAGATTTTTACCGTCCCGAGGACCCCAACCAGCTATGAAGTCTACACCTTTCTACGTGGCTTAGACCAACTGTTGTGGATTTCATTGACTGGTAAAGCCAAGTTTTTGTTTGACCGCCGCTAGCTTTTTTCCAGCCTGACCCTATATCCGCTAACATAGCTCGTCGAGGGAGGCGATGGCTTGGCATACGTAACACATGTCCTAACCATCTCAGTCTTTGCAACTTCACGACTTCGTCGATTGATTTCCCCTGTTTACCTAGAACTCTACGCCTAACCTCCATGTTGCTCACCTTATTATGCCACTTTACACGGGAAATAGAACGCAGGCACCTATGATCAAAGGCAGCTAGTCTTTTCATGTCTTCCACTCTCAGTGGCCAGGTCTCACAACCATAAAGGAGGACGGAGCGGACTGATGAGCAGTACACCCGCCCTTTGGTCGATAGTCGAACATCTCGTCTACGCCAGAGTCGGCGTAAACTGGCAAATGCGAAACGAGCCCTTGTATTCGTGCTGAGATTTCGTCAGAGATCAGCCCGTTGGGGCTGATGGTACTTCCCAAATAAGTGAAGCGGTCAACGTGCTCTACCACTTCACTTCCTATTTTTAAACTAGGCGTCGATGTAGTCCAGTCCTGTAACATCATCTTGCATTTGGCGGGAGCGAATCGCATGCCAAACATTGGTAGATTGCGGCTCAAGGTGTTTAGAAGACTCTGCATTTCGTCAGCGTCTTCGCCTAGAAGGACTATATCGTCTGCATATTCCAAGTCAACGAGATTATTCCCCGGTAGCAAATGGTCCTTCTAGGCGCGGAGTCTGACAAAATGCAGAGTCTTCTGAACACCTTGAGCTGCAATCTACGAATGTTTGACATGCGATTCGCTCCCTTTGTGAAATGTAAGATGATGTTACAGGACTGGATTGAACTACACTGGCTGCTAGTTTAGAAATAGGGAGTGAAGTGGTTAGTGAAGCACTTTGACCACTTCACTTATTTGAGAAGCTGCATCAGCCGACGCCAACGGGTTGATTTCTGACGAAACCTCAACATGGATACAGAAGGCTAGTTTCGCATATTCCAGCCTACGCCACCTCTGGATTAGTAGATGTGATATCCGGCCGGCTATCGATTAAAGGGCGGGTGTAATGCTCATCACTCCGCTCCGTCCTCCTATATGACTGGTTGTGAGACCTGGCCATTGAGAGTGGAAGACATGAAAAGATTAGCGGCCTTCAATCATAGGTGCCTGCGTTCTGTCTCCTGTGTGAAGTGGTATAATAAGGTGAGCAATATTGAGGTTAGGCGTCGAGTGCTAGCTAGGTAAGGAGGGGAAATCATTCGACGAGGCTGTGAAATTACATCGATATGTGTTACTTACGCCTAGCCATCGCCTTCCTCGACGGACAATGTTAGCTGACATAGGGTCAGGCTGGAAAAAAGCTAGCGGAGGTCAAACCAAAACATGGCTTCATCAGTCAATGAATAAATCCACAACAGTTAATTTAAACCAGCCGTGTAGGAAAGTGTGGACTTCTTGACTGTCTGGGTTCCTTGGGACGGTAAAAACCAAAGATGGCTAGAGACAATTGATCATATGACTCAAAATCGTTCTTGATGTCCAGCAAAGAGGCACCCACTCCTTGTGTCTTCTGATATCCAATGAAACTATATTGTTCTTCGTTATTACTATTCCTTTGTCTCACATCTCTGTTTACTGTCTCTATTATACATTTCTTCTACTTTCTTCCCTTGTTTTTTGTGCTACATGGAGTGCGGCGACTTGAACTGCTGCATATCGGTGGAAAGTTTTATGTCGAAAACAGACAAACAGTCAGAGTATGCTCAATCTATTTCCTTTGGCATATTTTTTTGGGCAACAGGTTCTCGGTTGGTTTGTTGCATGGTTCCTTCTTGCTTATCCTTTCTAGTTACCTGATCACTATTAGGCCAATTAAGGTGTGGCTATTAAAAGTCTACAATTTGTGCAAATCTGTTTATACCCACCCTGAGGGTGTAGCAGTTAGACGGTATAGCCAGATCACAGATATGACAGGCTTTCAAATTCTTGAATGCTCACAGAATTTTTTTGAGTTGGGCATCTTGTCATTAAAGCAGTGGATAACAGTAAAAGTGATGCGAAGTTTCCAAACTTTTTATTTCTGATAAAAGTCTATCTATGTTATATCCACCTCCTCGTTAAAAACATTTTCTGAATAGTCAACAAACTGGTTTTATAACTAAAAAGGATCTTTAGATGAATCCTTGGTGGTGGTTACTTTGAGTGATTCTCTAACTGGTTTGTTGCTTCATAACGTAATTATCATTTATTATTATTATTCCTTTGGGTTCCTGGTGGAACATAGGGTTTCAGTTGCACGTCTCTACTTGCTTCTGTCTTCTGCTCTGCTTATCACCTGCATCCATGTTGGACCATATTGTTTCAACTCCTCTTCACACGATCACCTCCATGTCACCCTTGCACTGACGTCCCACTCGCCGCGTGCTTCCGTTTCGGGTTCCACTCGAGCAATGGTCTGACGCGCACGCGATGTCACCCAACGGCCTCCTCAGGGGCGAGTGTCCAATCCATCTCCACTTTCTCCTGCATATTTGTTGGTTGGCGATTGCTTCTTGTTTTGTTTGTTCCCCCATAGTTTCTTGTTGCTGATTCTTTCTGGCCCGGCCCGACCATCTGATCTTCAGTATAGAGCCAGCGAAGACAGTTGTTGATGAAGGTCTGGTCTGCAACAGGCTGTTGGAAATATTCTTTGTGACCCACCCGCCAAGTTTCTGATCCGTATAGAAGAACTGACTGACTTGACGTATTTGTATTGGAAATCCGACTGAATTTTGTTGTTGATGCTGATTGACGAAAATTTCCAGATTGGCTGTTTCAGGTTGATGAATGTGTTTCTCGCCTTCCCGATTCTCGCTCGATTTGACATCCTCGTCCGTCCGGACTGCTTGTAGTTGAGACGATGTTCCCTTTCGAGATACGTGAATGAAGTAATTCTCTCCAGTTGATAATTGGCATCTTCCACATCCGTTCCATCTGCTCTCGGAGATTCCCAACACTTCTATTCCATATCTTCTCATTTCTGTGGCTACCTGAGCAGCCTTTCCAGCTTCATACATTGTACAAACATTCCACGTCCCCATCCTTATTTTTGCTTTCATAGAAAGAAGGCAGGCACATCGGCTTACTGGCTTCCCGAAGGCTTTCACCAGCCTGCGTCATTTCACTTCCCCGATTCGAGCGAAAAATTAAGGTTACTGTTTATATTTTTAGTATTTTCAATATATCTTTGTGTTGAAATTTCTGTAGCGATTTGGTTAAGTTTTGGGGGTGGAGTTGCTAGCACCACCATGCTCCAACCCTCCCTCTTTATTCCGGGCTTGGGACAGGCTAGAAAACTAGCGAGCTAGCGATCCAGGCGAGGTTTTCATAATGTAATCCTAATCCTTGCAAAATACATAATGGGGTTTTTCTTTTCCCCTATTTTCTTTTCTGCATAAACATAAGATAATCTTAGTTCTATTGATTTCTTTTAGATTAGTTATGACTTCAGTTGAAGTTACTTCCCATCCAGATACGTTAAAATGGGAGAATTTATCCATAGAAACGTATACTGAGACCCAATATACTGCTCATTCACTCAGCAACAATTTATCACCTAGTTTACGACAAACTCAGCTAAATTTTTCACCTAGTGAAATAAAAATATCCAAAAGAATTAAAGATGGTGGCGTGTTAACTTCTCTGATATTAGAACATACAGGCAATGCAACACCTCTTGATGATGATATCATCGCTAAAACACCTATTAAACAAGAATCAGTCAGTTGTGAATTGAATTCAACAAATCTACAGACTACCATTGTATCTAGTCCTCGTATCCTGAAACAAACTACGCTAACTGGTGCTGTAAGTCCATTGACAGAAGATGCCTTTAAGAAGCCGGTTAGAAAGAAAAAGGCTGGTACTGGAGCTACAAAAAAGTGAGGAGTCTCTGGTTTTTTATGTGTTTTGTAATTTTCATGCCTTTCTAAAAAAAGTGTAATTATTTTATAAATATAGCTAATTTGGTGGATTTATGGGGGAAGACTCCTCGACTTACAGCAACGATGGCTCCTTAGTACGAATCCCTTTCTGTCTACCTCATTAGCCTGTGGCTTGTAGCCTTCGACCTGAGAGACTGAGTTTTCTGAAGTAATAGTAACCAACGGTGTCCGACAGGGACGCCGTACTAATGGATATTAGCTTAATGAACTTTAATGACTCCAGGAGACAGTCTTGTAAATGGTATTTGATTCTGGGTGAAGATGTCGAGTCTTCTAAACACCTTGAGAAGAAGCCTTGCGGTGTTTAGCATGCATTTCACCCCTGTGAAATGTAAGATGATGCTTGCACGAATTGACTCCTAATTTAAAGGTAGGAAGTGGTGAAGTGGTTGATTGCTGTAACCACAGGCAACAAGAACACCATGAGAATATCGCATAGAGTGTACCTTCGAAATTGATTTGCTTCTCAGAGATCTCTTCGAATTTTCCAGTTTTCTTACCTAACTGATAGCTGCTACCTTGACTTGGTTGGACCACTGGTTGGAAGTAATGTTCCTGCAGGTCCTACCATGCCAGGAAGATTGTTAGGATAGCGACTAGACTAAAAGCAGTTACCTGTAAAGCGTAAGATTTCCTTTTTTACACTATGGTCGGGGGTCTGTAGGCGCGAAATCGTACTACTGGGGAAAAAGGATGTAATAGAAGTAAGGTGTTTCCCTCAGATGACTAGCATGCCAGCCACTTATGGCGTCTCTCCACTCTAAAGATTTGGGGTTAATTAAGAAAGGTCTACAGGTTGTACAGCTTTTATCGCACAAATCACCAAATTCAAGGTTATTTCACGGAACACTATCTACAAGTACACTAAGGCAATATTTTCCAGTTTTGTTGTTAGAACGCAGTTAGCCTGAACTGGTCTTTCGCGTGACAGACTGCGAGTCAGACATCTTTTATGAGAACTGATGATATACAGCTCAGTTGCTTAGGTGGAGTAGGATTCGAACCCCAAGACGCATAAGCGTGAAGACTGAGTACTTAAGTCAATAAGCCACTAGTGTTTGGATCATTGCGTCAGTGGTCCATTGTATGAATGTTCGCTAGCCATGCTCACTCGGTCTGGGGTTGAATTCTTGGTCACCAAGGTACCCCTACATCTCGCCTAGCCAGTAAAAAACCTGGTAAAGAGAGCAGCAGGTTGTGTGTGAGGCTAGTGACTCCACCTCTCCCCGCAAGAGCAATAATACTACTTCAAAATGAAACGTAAACGGTTGAGTGTTGTTGGTTTTTTATTATTATATTATTATTATTATTGTATCCTTTAGTTCCTAGAGGAACATAGGGCTTCAGCTGCGCACCTCCATTGACTTCGGTTTCCTGACAACTTTTTCACCCTGCTCCAGGTCTGTCCACATGCTTTCATCTCCTCCTCGCATGACCTCCTCCAAGTCACCCTTGGACGACCAACTCGCCGCCTCCCTTTCGGGTTCCACTCGAGGGCTTGTCTAGTGATGTCACTTGATGGTTTCCTCAGCGTATGGCCAATCCATCTCCATTTCTTTCTGCCTATTTGTTTCACAATCGGTTCCTGATTGGTTCGCTCCCAGAGATCCCTGTTGCTGATCTTTTCTGGCCATCTGATCTTGAGTATTGAGCGGAGACAGTTGTTAATGAAGGTTTGAAGTTTGTTTGAGATGCTCTTTATGACTCGCCAAGTCTCTGATCCGTATAGTAGCACTGACTTCACATTGGAGTTGAAAATCCGGATCTTATTTTTGATGCTGATTGCTGTTGACCTCCACACAGATTTGAGAGTAATGAAAGCTTGTCTTGCTTTTCCGATTCTGGCTTTGATGTCCTCGTCAGTTCCGCCTGTAGTTGAGACGATGCTTCCCAGGTAGGTGAAGGAGGTTGTTTCTTTCAGGTTCTTCCCATTTATGCTTATTGTTGTCTGTTGTTGTTGTTGCTGTTGATGTTGGCTAGGAATCTTCATTATCTCTGTTTTATCTATGTTCACGTGAAGTCCTATCTTTGATGCTTCTTCTGCCAACTTGTTGGTTTTTTAGCCGTACACTTTTATCATGTGTTTTTTTATCACAGCTTGATTCCACACCGTAGTTTTGGTACAGCTATGGAATTTTCAGCATGTGATTTCGGTAGCCCAAATTTTGCAGGCCGACCATAGATATCAAGTGTGCGTCGGCAGGAGATCGAACCCCGGACCATGTGCATGGTCGACGAGAGTCCTAACCACTGTACCACCGGCGCAAAATAATATTATTTATTTATTTAAACGCAATATGAGACCAAGAAAGATGCGCCACACTAAATTTCATTTGTTGTGTGAGGGCTGCCCGGGCGCCCAGACCGAAGCAGGTGGTTTTCTGAAGGGACCATCCCCGAGCCTTTGACTTGGAGTCTAATCCGAAAGGCAGCAGAGCAGCGTCAGGAGCTGCATTCCCATGGTTCCCGGTGACCCAATGGGTTCATACGCCATTTGATCCGATTGGATACTGGAGCCCATGTACCCCATGGTAACTGCTTTTAGTTTAACCGCTATCCAAACAACCTTCCTGACATGATAGGACCTGCAGGAACATGAGTCCCAGCCAGTTTAGCTTGTTAGGTCACTGCGGTATTCAAGCCCGACCACCACGACAAGATAGCGGTTGTCGGCCGGGACGCAAAATAATAATAATAGATTCACTTGGTTGTTCTAACACGTTACCCTAATGGTCGGGTGAGGCGACTGATACTCTCGCCAGCAATCTTGACTAGTGGTCGCGCGCTATTATCGTGAATTGGCAGAAGTTAGAATTCATGGGCTGACCATTGGATTGGGTCCCAAAGGCTGAATTGTCTACTAGCTGCTCACCTTGTAACCAGAAAGCCCTGGATTCGGACCGTGGTGGTGGGTGGGTGTGTGTACTGATGAAACAGCTCTCTAGCAGTACTCCCCGGTGGTGGTGGTTTTCCAATGATTCTCTAACCGATTTCAGCTCATAATGTGAAATCCTGTAACCAAAAACTTCATTAAAATATTTTTTTATTCCTCAATAATAATATCAACACAGATCACAGGTGAAGCGTTCGCACAGTGTTGATTCAAGTCAACCAAATGAAAAAGGCATCACTTCACGTCAACCACCTAATTATAAATCATCAAATGTTAGTCCAAAGAAGAATATACGCCTAGCTGATAAGTCAGCCGTTGTATCTTCCTCTATCTTCCCTTCTGCTCTTACTGATATTCAACCAGACAAATTAGTCAATAACAAGAATAAATCACAATATCAAACACAGTTAACATCATATGGGATTAGAAGAACAGCTAGACAGTATGCTAAAGAGATTGAGGTAAGCGTCTGACTTCTTTTTTCCCCAACTGTTTTCACTTTGATCTGTTACCAAATATCGAAAAAATAAAACGGTGTTCACGTTCATAGTTTTCAAGCGAAGCCGCGCTGATTAAGCGCAGAGTCCTCTGATAAATAGACATTTTAAACTCAGACATCTTCATATATATTCGATATGTGATTTGCTCGTGTCAAATATAAGGTGTAATGATGATACTTCAGGAATAGTCTACACCGACTGCTAGTTTAAGGATAATAAGTTATCATCTGAAGTGGTGACGACTAGTGGTGTCCATCAGAGAGGGATGCTCACTATCCCCATTTTTATTTAATTTCATCGTAGATATTGTACTAATGGATTTAACCCTAACTGCTCACTTCAGCCACTCAGGAATTGACTTGCTACCATCACGGAATAATCTCGTTTACTTAGAATATGCAGATAATATGGTCCTTCTAGGCGGGGATGCTGACAAAGTGCAGAGTCTTCTGAACACCTTGAACTGCAATCTACGAATGTTTGACATGCGATTCGCTCCCTTTGTGAAATGCAAGATGATGTTACAGGATAGGACTGGAATACACTGACGCTTAGTTTAGAAATAGGGAGTGAAGTGGTTAGTGAAGCACTTTGACCACTTCACTTATTTGAGAAGCTGCATCAGCCGACGCCAACGGGTTGATTTCTGACGAAACCTCAACATGGATACAGAAGGCTAGTTTCGCATATTCCAGCCTACGCCACCTCTGGATTAGTAGATGTGATATCCGGCCGGCTATCGATTAAAGGGCGGGTGTAATGCTCATCACTCCGCTCCGTCCTCCTATATGACTGGTTGTGAGACCTGGCCATTGAGAGTGGAAGACATGAAAAGATTAGCGGCCTTCAATCATAGGTGCCTGCGTTCTATCTTCCGTGTAAAGTGGTGTAGTACGGTGAGCAATATTGAGGTTAGGCGTCGAGTGCTAGCTAGGTAAGGAGGGGAAATCAGTCGACGAGGCTGTGAAATTACATCGACATGTGTTACTTACGCCTAGTCATCGCCTTCCTCGACGGACAATGTTAGCTGACATAGGGTCAGACTAGAAAAGAGATAGTGGCCGTCAAACGGAAACATGGCTTTATCGCTCAATGAAATCCACAACAGCTAGTTAAAGTCGTGTAGGAAGGTGTATACTTCCTGACTGGTTGGGGTCCTCGTGACGCTAAAAACTCATGGTTAGAAACAGTTAATGATATGGCTCAAAATGGTTCTCAACGGCTGGCGAAGAAGCCTCCATTCCTTGTGACTTTCCAGTGAAACTATATTGTTTTTCGTTATTACTATTCCTTTGTCTCACTCCTTTGTTTACTGTCTCTATTTTACATTTCTTCTACTTTCTTCTCTTGGTTTGTGTGCTACATGGAGGGAGTGTGGCGACTTGAACTGGTGCACATCGGTGCAAAACAGACAGACAGACAATAAGTTGTTAAGTGTTTGGGTGTGTTGGCCACTTGACGTATTTGGAAAGTTGAGTCAGCCTTAATGGACTGTGATTGTGCTAACAAAATTACGTTAGAAAGATTCATTGACCAACTTAAGTCATCTCTAGCGTATTATTGATATTTGGCTATCGATTAAAGCAAGTGTGTACTGAGCACCAATTCTCACTATCCTCCTATATATCGCATCTCATTGATATTCAAGTATTGGTTTGTACGGATTCGATTGATTGGCCACATGATTTCATCATGAGCTGACATTTGTTAGAGAACCATTTGAAAACCAACTGGGAATACTGGACAGCTGTTTCCTCTGTCCTAGTTTGGGACTCTTCATCAGTACGCATCCACCTGGGTTCGAACCCCAGGAACCTCTGGGTTCGAGGCGGCTCGTAGACCATTGAGCCACTGAGACCTGATCCAATGGACACCCCATGAATTCTAACTTCTGCCAATTCACGACATAGCGCAACCGCTAGCCAATGTCTTCGGCGAGTATTTGTCCTCACATCCGACCTTCTGCACCATACTGGTGACGACTTCCCACCGGAACACCAGGTAGCTACCTGCCTACCTACCACTGTCAGCTCATGATGAAATCCTGTAACCAATAAAATCCCAACAAACCAATACTTAAAGGTATGTACACATTTGGTTTATAAAAAGTTTTGGATTTCTTGTAATAATTCACATATGTACGTCTTATTCTCATTTTGTTTTACAGCGTGAACGTGAAAACAATTTCCTCCTTGCATTAAAAAATAATATTGAAGCTGGTATGAAGGTAAGTCAGTGTCTTTTGTTTTTTGCTCAGCTTTTTTCATTTCATTTTATGTCTCGGTGCATGTATGATCTAGTAGTACTTACGCAGAATTAGGATCTTCTAGTCAAAGCTAGATCAAGGAACATTCAGCCACCGAAATGAAAATCTGATTGTCCATGATGATTCGCAATAATTATAGCGCCACGGGCTACGAGTTCTCTTGGTAAAATAATGCACTTGTATTGGAGTTCCTTTCGGACCTCCGCTTCCATCTGTGGGTAGTGACTGTTCGCAGTGGATATATTTATGTTCGTCTTAGTAAGGAACTATGTTAACCCTGGATAAATTTTGTGTAGATACCCATACTACTAATAAGTAGGTAGAGTGCAATAGCGAAAAATTTGTATACCTCATTTTGTGTCGTTAACTGATATTGATAGGACCGGAATTTCCAACCTTTCTAGTCACTTCATGTTTATCCTCAGACATCGTTGAAAGCGTTCCTACTAGCCACCGACATGTCATCAGAGGCCGAACATCTCTGTATAACAATCATGCAACGGTAAAAGCAAAATTCAATTAGAAACAAATAATAATTGATCCCTGTTGCACAAGAGGATGGCTCTCGAAGTTGTAACGACAGAAGACAAGGGCCAGGCAACATATCGTGTATTGAGAAAATCAATAGATATTTATAGATTTTTATGTACAGTATTGCCAGCGGAGCTGCGACATTTTCTGATCAGTCGTTTTCTTTCTGAAGGTTATTCTGTTAGCTCTTTGTGTTGTGACCGTTTCTCAGAAAGTTAAGTTTCTCATACAACTACGAATCCTAAATGCACACTTTAAGTTGGCTGTGAGATTGGTTTGGTAATTCCTTAACATTAAGCTTTGTTATTGCTTTTTCTCATGACTCCGATTCGGGACGTAACATTGACGTGAATTGCTGTCTAGAATATTTGACTTGCAGCCATCCAGCTCTCTCCACAAAGAGTTAGTACTCTGACGGTTAAGACGAAGAATACCATCACTCAAGTTGTACGATGATAATAGTACACTCCCACGACTAGTCTCAAATATAGGTCGAAATGCGCGGCCAAAGCTAGTCTAGTCAAAGATTTTCCTTTCTCTTTCTTTACATTACTATTGACTAGATCATTCATACAGAAGATAAAGGTCGGGGAATAATTGCTACAAGACCATTCAGTGAAGGTGAATTTGTTGTTGAATATGCTGGCGATTTAATTCCTGAGAAGTTGGCAAAACAACGTGAAGCTGAATATAAACGTGATCCAAATATCGGATCGTATATGTTCTTTTTTGTACATGCGTAAGTTTTGGGTTTGTTTTGTCAAGATTTTATATTTGTTATGTGAGTAGTTTTATTGACACATATATGTGTTTCATTATTATTATTATTATTGCTGCTTTCGGTTCCGAGTGGAACATAGGGCCTATACAGCACATCTCAATTTTTCTCCTATTCTCTGCTGTCCTCTTTAACTGATCCCACGTTTTTCCATAGTGTGTCATCTTCTTTACACACGATCTCTTCCATGTCATTCTCGAACCCACGCTCGGCTCATCGTGTTTCCCATTCGGGTTCCACTGGAATGCGATGGCTTGGAGTGCGATTTCACTCGACTATCTCCTCAGTATGCGCTTGATCCGTCTCGATTTTCTTCGGTGCGTCGGTGGCACAGTGGTTAGGACTCTCGCCGACCATGCACATGGTCCGGGGTTCGAGCCCGCACCGACGCACACCTGATATCTATGGTCGGCCTGCAAAATTTGGGCTACCGATATCCATGCTATGACGATCTGGTCAAATCATTTCTAAATCCCTCGCCATTACCATCTTGGCGATGTCGCAGGGGCGGACAGCTGAAGACATGGCTTGGTACAGTCAAGGCAGATATGGAGTGCCCTGGGCTACAAACCGTCTACGGACTCCGTATGTGGAACAAGAATTAGATATCCCTATCGCAAAACCTTGCTTCAGATCGCCGCGCCTGGGCAGCGATGATTCGAGACGTTCATGAGGCCGGCTCATCCTCCCGTAGGAGATAGCCGAAGTAAAGTAAAGTAAGTATGCTGAAAATTCCATACTTGTACCGAAAATACAGTGTGGAATCAAGCTGTAAATCAAAAATAAAAAAAATAAAATAAAATATTGGTCGGTTTGTTCCCAGAGTTTCTTGTTGCTAATTCTTTCTGACTCATCTGATCTGCAGTACGAAGCCTGCGAAGGCACCGGCTGACAAAACTCCTCTGTGGACTGTCGGAAATGCTTTTCATGACGCATGCGCCAAGTTTAATGGTGTTCATATAGAAGAACTCACTGACTCAATCTTTTTATTGACGATGTGAATCTTGTTTCTGTTGTCCTAGTTTGGGAATCTTCATCAGTACGCCCCCACCGGGGTTTGAACCTAGGTCCTGGTTACAAAGTGATTTCGTGAATTGACAGAAGTTAGAATTCATGGGCTGGTCATTGGATCGGGTCCCAGTGGCTTAATGGTCTACTAGCTCACCTTGCAACCCGAAGGTCCTGTGGTGTTCGGACCGTGGCAGTCGGTGTGTGTACTGATGAAGAGCCCCCAAAGAAGGATGAAACAGCTGATTCCCTAACATATGTCAGCTCATGATAAAATCCTCCAACCACTGAAAAAAAGAACTATCTACAGTTCTAAAAAGGTAATTTTGGGTAGACAGAAACAGAGGTTGATTACACTGAACCCTTGTCCATCGTTTCTACACCCTAACACCATGTAATAGAGTTGATGCATCATCAATAAAACCAAAGATATGAGAAATATTACCTACTAATCAAATCAAGGGATAAGAAATAGTGTGCAATAATGTAAAAGAAGTCGGAAATTTATGCGATCGCATTGATATGATTATGAGCAGTAATAAATTATGCTCGAGACGTCGTCATCAGTAAATAGGTAACTCCCTGTGTGACTGTTATCAAATAAATTTGCTCTTGTATTATAACTATATTCTCCCTCTTTTCATTTCTTATCATTATTGGTTTGTTGAGTTGCACATTCTTATGATATTCGGTTCTCAGATGCGTTTCGGATTGTGAGGGCGATTGTTACTCCCCGGCTGCCCACACCGTGGAAGTTGGTTGCGTGACCGCAGAACCCAGGGGATAACTGCTTGGGGCCGGTCACACGCGGCCTGCTTTTGTTTGTTCTTTGTTGTTTTGTGTGCCTCAGTAGCATATTTATCACTCCTTCCCCTGTGACACGGCAGCAGGAAGCGCGGTCGTTGTTAATCCGGGCCACGGCGGATCCGGCATGAAATTTTGTTATTTTGTATTTATCATGATGTTGGATGGGGTAGCTGCTTTTTGTTTAACCGCTATCCAAACAACCTGTCTGGCATGGTAGGACCTCAAGAGACATAAGTCTCAGCCAGTATAGCTTGAATAGGTCATTGCAGTGTTCAAGCCCGACCACCACGTCAAGGTAGCAGCTTTCGGTCGGGGGTTCTCAGACATCACCTTGGAATGGACTGTCTGTCTGTGTGTCTGTCTGAATTCAACATAGAACTTGGCACCGAAGTGCACCAGTTCGAGTTGCCACGTTCCAAATAGCACACAGAGGTAGACAAGAAGATGAGTGAAGAGAATCAATAGAGTTTGACAAGTATAAGAGTGAAACAGAATGGGTAATGGTAGAAAGGAATATGAAAGATTACAGAGACTGAATACATCTGCGCCATTGACAACGATTTTGAGCCATGTCACCTACTGTCTCCAGCCATTGATTCATAGAGTCCCGAGGGCCCCAACTCGGAAGTCTGCATCTACCTACCTGACTCAGTTTAACTGTCAAGGATTTCATCGATTGATGAGGCCATGTTTTTGTTTGGCCACCACTGGCTCTTTTCCAACCTGCACCTATATCAGCTAACAATGCCCGTCGGGGGAGGCGGTGGTTAGGCATGCGCAGCACGTGACCTAGCCATCTTAGTCTATGTAACTTTATAGCCTCGTCGACTGATTTCCCCTCTTTGCCCAACACTCTACGCCTAACGTCAACATCACTTATCCTGTGAAACCACCTAACGTGAGACAGAGATCGCAGACATCTATGATCGAAAGCAGTCAACCTCTTCATATCTTCAACTCGTATCTTGGAATGGACTACAGGACTGGACTACATTGATTCGTAGCTTAAAGATAGGGAGCGAATAAAGTGGCAGTGGATGTTGACCAATTCACTTATCTAGAAGCTGCGTCGTCAACCAGCGCCATCGGGTTGATCGCTGACGAAATCTTAGCACGGATAAAGAAGGATCGTTTAGCATATGCTAAATTGCACCATCTCTGGCGTGGTCGTGATATCCAGCCGTCGACCAAATCTCGTGTATATTGTTCACTAGTTGACGCTGTCCTTTTTTATGGCTGACTGTGAGACATGTGGCGTTGATGGCATCAAAAGGCCAGTCTTGACTAGTCCGTGTTTAAAGCTATTTGAACAAAAGCTGTTAAAATGTAAGTATTGTCTTTTCTAAGTAGGCTTTCGATAAATTGACTTCTGAAGACTACCGTCTTCTAGGCGTTCCACGGGAATGTCGAGGAAGGGGAACTTTCCATCACTTTCATGTTCCATAGTAAACTCAATATTGGTGTGTACATCACTGAATAATCTGAGTAAGTATGTGAAGCATAACTTTCATTGTTGCACACACTAAAAATGTGTCATCAACATATCGACAGTAGGAAGTTTTGTTTCGTCGATTGCATGCTTCAACTTTGTTCTTTCAAGGTTGGAAATGAATATGTCTGCTAAAACAGGGCTAAAGTGAACTGACTGCCCATAGGTACACCATCTATTTGACAGTCTTTGTTTTTACCAGTGTTGCAAATGTCTACGTTTTCCCACTGAAATTGGTGTCCGTAAAATAGCTGAAATGCATTGATTGATGCGAATGTGAATACAATTCCATGTTAACTTGTTTATTAGAGACAGACATCACGTAATTAAACAGTATCATATACTTGATTGCATGGAGGGATTTCATCATGAGCTGACATCAGTCAGAGAACCACTGGAAAACCTGCGTGGAGTACTGCCAGACAGTTGTTTCCTCCGTCCTAGTTTGGGACTCCTCAGTAGTACGCACCCACACTGCGGGGTTCGAACCCAGGACCTTCTGGTTACCAGGCGAGCTCGTAGACCATTGGATCAGGTTCCAGTGGCTCAATGGTCCTGGGTTCGAATCCCAGTGGGTGCGTACTGAATAGGAGTTCCAGACTAGGACAGAGGAAACAGCTGTTTGGCAGTACTCCATGCAGGTTTTCCAGTGGTTCTCTGACTGATGTCAGCTCATGATGAAATCCTCCATCCAATCAAACGAAATCCCTACAAAACCAATACCTCAGTATTATTTACTGTTCAACGTTTCAAAAACACAATTTATATTTATGGATAGGTGGAAAAAACTGAGCAATTGAAGCTTTCATCCCCACGCCGAAAGTATGATGGAGAGGTAGGTAGTGTAGATGACACATTCACTATATTTAGAACACAGGACATAATATATATATATTTTTCAAACACATTAATCCCAAGGTAGAGGTTATATTCAATTCACTTATGATGAATTAGAAAGTCAGGAATCGAAAGTTCCAGTGATGTTAGATTGTAGCGTAGAAAGGAAGAAAAAAGACGGGAGGTGGCTAAACACTAGTGTTTTTTTTAATACATAACCCACGCATTCATCCCACCCTATGTTAGGAAAAAAATAGGATTAGTGAAGTGTTTGAGAAATAGGGCATAAAAAAATCTAAGTAGTGTAGTATCAGGGAAAATCTAAGACAGGAAGTGAGGCAGCTAGAAAGAAACTTTGAAACGTTATAATTACTCTAATAAATTCATCAGGAAGTAGTAGGTAGGAAAATGTAAAAATGAAATTAATAATAATGGTAATAATAATGTTAAACATGTACAGAATGACTACAAAACTAACAATAAGGAACCTTAAATCACTAGCAATACTTCCAAACACACACAGAGAGAACCAGTGAAACTTGACGTGAAATTTTTGCAGAAAACAGGTGAATGAAAGTGACACTCAATCACTCACAGATTATATCGGTTAAAGGATCCTGTGGAGCCAATTAAACAAGGTTACTGAGTTTACCTAATACCCTGCCTATCCTGCCCGATTTTCAGTTCAATTACATGCATTAAAGTAGTAGAATGAGGTTATTCAGACAAGCGAAGCATAAAAACCTAGCAGCAAAATCTAGATTAGTTGACACTAATGAGATAAGAAATCTGAGGGAAAAATTCATTTGTAGCATTACATGCAATTACACACAATCATGCAATAGAATAGGATAAAACGACAGGTCTAAAATGTAATATTAACAGGATAGAGGGAGAGACTGATAACGGAAGCTTCATTTATATCGAGTCAACTGAAGACAGCAATACTGAGGTCAGGCGTCGAGTGCTAGCTAGGTAGGCAGGCAGGGGGAAATCAATTGACGAGGCTGTGAAGCTACATCGACTGAGATGGTTAGGATATGTGCTACGTATGCCTAGTCATCGCCTTCCTCCATAATGGGAAATGTTAGCTGACATAGGGTCAGCCTGGAAAAGAGTTAGCGGTGGTTCAACGAAAAGCCTGGCTCTATCAGTCAATAAAATCCCCAACAGTTAGTTTAAGCCAGCCAGCCGCGTAGGAAGGTGTGGACTTCCTGACTGTGTGGGGTCCTGGAGACGGTAAAAACCAATTATGGCTAGAGACAATCGGTGGGTGATATAGCTCAAAGTGATCGTTGTCAATGGCTGGCTGGCTCAGATGCATCCACTCCTTGTGACTTATGATTTCCAATGAAACTATATTGTTCTTCGTTATTACTATTCCTTTGTCTCACACCTCTGTTTACTGTCTCTATTATGCATTTCTTCTAATTTCTTCTCTTGCTTTGTTTGCTATATGAATTGTGGCGACTTGAACTGGTGCACATCGGTGCAAAGTTCTGTGTTGAAAACTACCTTTATGACAAATAGGGAAGAATAAAGAAAACTAATGAGATGAAAGTTCCGAAGTTGCTTAGTTACAATTCACAATATGATTATGAACAACGAGGGAATTGTTATGTGAACTGTGATCAAGATTTGACGGGATAGTTGCAAAATAATTAAGCGCCGAGTGAGAAGTGTAAACATTTGGGAAAAAAAATTATACATTTGTAAAAGCTCAGCGAGATTGAAACGACCAATTCCAACGTTTCCTGCGTCCGGCAATCTGGTCCGAACTTCTTCAGGGGAAATTAATCGAAATTAACATAACAAAGGTTTATATGTATAAAAGGAACATTTCTTGTTTTTGAAAAACTTTGTCCCCAATCATCTGAGTCATGAAACAAGCATCAACGTGTATGATAAACAAAATTGTATGATCTGTGATCAAAATTTGACCTCGGACTTACAAATATTGGTCTACCTTTGTTAAACACTTTAAACACAGTGTGTATGTGTGTGTGTGTGTGCGGGTAAACAGTTGTAAAACATTTGTTAGCCTCTCCATAAGAAGACGTAGGCAATCGGGAATTTTGACCATGATTAATCGTTGATACATATCCAATTTTATTTATTAGTCAGGATTTGCCATGCATCAGCCAACATCACACCTTCACGTCTGTTCAAACTGTTGGGATTCACCAATGTATATGTAGGGCTTCCGCACACTATTTAAATGTTTCAACAAAAGTAGATTAATTTTGAAAGTCTGAGGTCAAATTTTGATCGGAGTTCATACAGTTTTGTTTATTATACATGTTGATGCCTGTTTCATGACTCATTTGATTGGACAAAGTTTTTAAAAACAAGAGTTTATGTATAAACCTATGTTGTTATTGAATTGGTGGATGGTTACTAGCAGTGGAATCCAGAATACGCATTTCGTCCTATCTGGGACTCGTCAGCTGGATGTAGCTACATTTCTCAGTGAGTGATGATGTTCCCACCGAGGCTCGAACCCAGTGCCTATAGTTTCAAACGCCAAAGCGTCGTTATCCACTAGACTGCTTGGGCTACGAGAGCCACCTCTTGTGCAACGGGTCATATTAATTATTTAATTGAATTTTAGATTTTCCTGTCGTTTGATTGAACCGAAGTTCTCGGTCTCGACGAATTTCCGAACATCACCCTGTGTAGTTAAGCAAAGGACAAACAAAATCTATTCGCAGCACTATTTTATCTCATTCATCTTGTGGATATAGAACACAAGATTGACGTTAACCATGCTTTTTTCAAGGTCATTTACCGTATACCTACGAATCTGAATTTTGCCTTAAGGGTTCGACTACTACTAAATATTGCTGAGACTGACCGTTGGGATCTATGATAACAAGCCTAGTTTGTACATCGTAAAGAAATTAGTTCAAACATTTTCCTTACCTTGGCCATGTAGGTTTGAATAATCCTGAATTTTTGTGGAATTTCCCTAATTTTAGGTGATATTCTATTTGCTATTATTTCTCTATTATCATTATAATTTAAGCATCTTTAATGAACTGTGGTAATTTCATTGTGATCACACTTTACAAATCGATATTATTTCGAAAACACTGATATTGTTATTGACTGCTATTCTAGAATATTCTATGTATATAAGCATGCATATATAATTGTAGAGCCAGAGGAGGCGGAAATTATCGAAAAGGATATTCTTTGCTCAATCATTTTGTATTTTATAATCACTTCATTCAATATAATGTTGCCTAAAAGACCCAACAATAACAACAATAGCGAGAGAAGGCAAGATCAACATCATCTGCAGAGTGAACTGCATGAACTGTGATCAAAATGGACATGACTATACATCATAGTGTATTGCAGATCATCCATCTATGTATATAATGTATCTGATTGTATGCTTCAAAAATGTACCCTTAAAAAAGCAGTTACCTTGTCAGACTTCCCCCGCATATATGCATGTTATTTCTGTGACTTCAATTAATTAATCCGTTATTCTCTTACACTAATGAAAAAAAAACAGACAGCTAATCTTCCCGGAAATCATTGAACGCGTCCAGAATAGAAGGGATCATCTGATCTTATTATATCGCCTATAATTCTGATTGTTTGTAAAAGGTCATACATACATATATCAAGGCACCTGCTATAGATAGTTTAACTTCGCTGACGTTTGAATTTTGTGTCATTGTTTCGCTGACAGTTTCATCCCAAAAGACTGCAAGAATAATTAAATTTTAAGCAGAGTGGTCTCTGCTTAGTGAGTGGTCACCCGACCGAAAGCTGCTACCTTGACGTGGTGGTCGGGCTTGAACACCGAAATGATCTATTCAAGGTATACTGGCTGAGACTTATGTCTCTTGAGGTTCTACCATGCCAGGCAGGTTGTTTGGATAGCGGTTAAACAAAAAGCAGCTACCCCATCCAACATCATGATAAATACAAAATAACAAAATTTCATGCCGGATCCGCCGTGGCCCGGATTAACAACGACCGCGCTTCCTGCTGCCGTGTCACAGGGCGGGAGTGATAAGTATGCTACTGAGGCACACCAAACAAAAGAGAACAAAAAAAACAGGCCGCGTGTGACCGGCCTCAATCAGTTGTCCCCTGGGCTCTGCGGTCACGCAACCAACTTCCACGGTGTGGGCAGCCGGGAAGTAACAAACGCCCTCACAATCCGAAAGACAGGTCTAGTGCTCTAAGGCTCTAAACTGTCTAGATGTTCTGGTTCATGATGTGTGTGTCTGTCTGTCTATGTTTTCGACATAGAACTTTGCATGGATATGCAGCAGTTCAAGTCGCCACACTCCGTCCTTGTAGCACACAAACCAACAGAAGAAAGTAGAAGATATGCAAAATAGAGACAGTAAACAGAGGAGTGAGACAAAGGAATAGTAATAACGAATAACAATATAGTTTCATTGGAAATCATAAGTCACAAGGAGTGGATGCATCTGAGCCAGCCAGTCATTGACAACGATCACTTTGAGCCATATCACCCACCGATTGTCTCTAGCCATAATTGGTTTTTACCGTCTCCAGGACCCCACACAGTCAGAAAGTCCACACCTTCCTACGCGGCTGGCTGGCTGGCTTAAACTAACTGTTGTGGATTTCATTGACTGATGAAACGATGTTTTGGTTTGACCACCGGTAGCTGTTTTCCAGGCTGACCCTATGTCAGCTAACATTTCCCATTGTAGAGGAAGGCAATGACTAAACATACGTAACACATGTCCTAACCATCTCAGTCGATGTAACTGCTTCACAACCTCGCCTGTTGATTTCCCCTCCCACCTACCTAGCACTCGACCGATGCGTAACCTCAATATTGTTCACCTTATTATACTAGTTCACACGGGATATAGAACGCAGGCATCTATAATCAAAGACAGCTAGCCAGTCTTTTTATGTCTTCCACTCTCTATGGCCAGGTCCTACAGCTATAAAGGAGAACGCAGTCGACTGCTGAACAGTACATGATGTGTATAGGGCGTTGATTCACATATGTTCTTCCTCAATTTATACGCCTAGTTTGTTTCATGAATTTTATTCCAGTTATCTAATTCATGCATCCATTTTACTCTTTCTTTCTCTCACTGTGTACTCTCAGTGGTCAACGTTATTGTGTTGACGCCACAAAAGAAACACCACGACTTGGTCGCCTAATAAATCACAGTCGGTTAAAACCAAATTGTGTTGTAAAAGTCATCCCTGTCGATGGAATTCCCCGGTTGGCATTGTTTGCACGAAAACCAATTTCTCCTGGTAAGTTGTGTTAAAAGTTATTTTGATTTGTAAGGAATGTGGGTTGGAAAAAAATATCTTTTTCAGTCGTAGAAAATTTTTTCTGTTAATATTCTAGGATTTTATTGATCTGATCTGAATGTAGTTTAATTTACGGATGTTCGTCATCATTGTCAGCGTGCTCACACTTCAGCAAGAAATGTGATTTTAGAATTTTGAGGAGAATGTATACTGAACAAAGAGTACTCTTTTCGATAACCCCTTCTTCATCAGGCTCTACAGTTATATATATACATTATAGTGAATGAATGAATTAGTGTTATGAACAACATTAATGTCGTTGTTTAAATAACATCGAATCAATAATAATGATAGATTAGAGCTCAATAGCATCAACATAAAATAAGGTGAATGTCAGAAAACACATCAGGAAAGATAATATTACAAATTCATGAATTTATAGTCTCTACTGAAGGCCGCCGAGGGCAGTAGTAGTGGCCAGCTGGACTTGCTTCTTTTGAACACAGAGCACTGGTTGTTTGAGGCGAATTGCAATAAATAGCCTCTGGTGTTTGAAGCATGCGGTGATTCGATGATTTTGGCAATTTATTAGGCACTCTGTAGATGATGATAGAGAAGGATTCTTCCACACTGACTTTGCGGCCGGTTTGTACCAGGTGGTCTAATATCGAACTGTTGATGGTTTTCACTACACCTTTACTTAGCCATAATAGGAGATGTTCTCGAGCTGGCACGAAAAATCAAGTACCTAGAGCAATGGCAAACGTAGTTGAATTGATAGACACAATTTGAAGTGGCCGGCTGGTCTAGGTACTTCATCTTTCAGTCGAGGTAGCACCATCGGTCGTGTAGAGAATGAGACGTGTAGTTCTCCAGCATTAAAAGTTCTTTTTAACTGACTTTCTTAATTTCTTCGTAATTATCTCACTTGGTATATATCGCCCTTGAATCAAGGTCGTATATAAAGTGGCTTCTTGTTTACAGATAGTGAGTAGTCTTTTTTCGCCGCTTTCTTTGTCATATGTTTCTTGATAAGTTTTTTCGGGACAGCTATTTTCGGTCAAAGTATTATATACAATGCTTAGTTCATCTTCAATTACTTCTTCTGACCATATTGCTCTAACTAACTATGTGGCTGTGGGTTTTCACTAAATTTCTTTTGTACTTGATAGGAACGAAGCTGTGAGAATGTGTATATTGTCCTGTCCAAGTACTTTTTTATATGCACGAATTCTCCACGATTGTGACATTACGTTTTTGGCTAATGCCCATAAACGTTGATTGGTTGTCTGGGGGAAATTTCCGCCGCCGTTTGTCAATTTGTATTTTTATGGCGGATGATTATATGGATGTTAGTGTATATATAGGAGTAGATTGCAAAGAGTGAATGGATTTGCGCGATACTGAGAACGATTTTGAGCCATGGTAACACACTAATATGCATCGAATTATTGACTCCCAGCATTTCCATGACCTTAAGCCGGGCAGTCTACATCCCCCTACCTGGCTGAAATCAAAAGTTGAAGAATTCAGCTGATGTACTGTTATTATTCTTATTATTCCCATGAGTTCCTAGGGGAGTATAGAGTTTCGACAGTGTATCGTTGTTCCACTCTGTTCTTTCCGTTCTTTATTTTGGCTGGCTCCACGATTGCCCGTAAAAGCTTCCATCTCCTCCGCATATCATTGTCACCATTTCACCCTTGGACACACACACACACACACACACGCCTAATTCGTCATCTCCCACTCGAGGGTCTTGTGCGTGTAAGGTCACCTAATCGTCTTCTCAGCGTATGTACAAACCAGTAGGCTGCAGCAGGTCGGATGTGAGGACGAATACTCGCCGAAGGGATTGGCTAGTGGTTGCGCTATATCGTGAATTGGCAGAAGTTGAAATTCATGGGCTGGCCATTCAGGAATCGGGTCCCAGTAGCCTAATGGTCTACAAGCTCACCTTGTAACCAGAGGGTCCTGGTTTTGAACCCTGGTGGTGGGTGCGTACTGATGAAGAGTCCCAAACTAGGACTGGGAAAACAGCTGTCCAGTACTCCCAGTTGCTTTTCCAATGTCATCTCATGATGAAATCCTGTAACCATCTTCATTTTTGTTGGCGTTGACTGTAGTGACTGGTCGGCTTCAGTGTCGAAGTTTTTGTCATTTATTTCCTCTTACTTTTACCACCCATCGAATCTACAGTAGTGGAGCTGTGAATGTCGGAGGTATTGTGTTGATAGAAGTAGCCTGTCGTAAATTCCAAATCTCTGATGGACGACCACCCAGAGAAGTAGTAGTGACTAACTTGCCGTTGTTCTTGAAAATTCAGATCTTATTTGGTTATGCTATGCTAAGTGTTGTAGGTCTGCTGTAGGTGTGTCTCCATGCTGACCGCTAACAAGATTTTGCCTCAATCGCAAAGTCAAATTAGCGCTGTATTGTTATTATTATTATTGTTCCCTTGGATTCCTAGTGGAACATAGGGCTTTAACTGCACGTCTTCACTGTCTTCTGTCGTCTACTGTACTTTTCACCTGTATCCATGTTAGTCAATACTGACTGTTTCAACTCCTCTTCACACGATCTCCTCCATGTCACCATTGCACTGACGTCCCACTCGCCGCTTCCCTTTCGGCCCTGTTCCACTAGAGCAATGACCTGACGCGCGCACCTTGTCACCCAGCTGCCTCCTCCTCAGCGAGTGTCCAATCCATCTCTATCCACTTTCTCTTGCATATTTGTTGGTTGGCGATTGGTTCTTGTTTTTTTTTTGTTTGTGTCAATAGTTTCTTGTTGGTGATTCTTTCCGGCCCGGTTATTTGATCTGATCTTCAGTATAGAGTCAGCGAAGACAGTTGTTGATAAAGGTCTGCAACGCCTAAAACGTTTTGTTTTTGTGACTTTATTATTATTATTATTATTATTATTATTATTATTATTATTATTAGTGATAATTATCATTTCTGGCAAATAAATAGTATGATATTGAACTCTTTCTATAAGTTAAGCACATGTTAAAAAAAACCCAACACTTAGCCGGAAGATCTGATTAAAAAGTATTTTAAAAAGCAGAAGAATATCAAACCTTCGTAAAGGCTCCGAGGATAAAAAAAATAAAAGAATTAATGTCACAAATGTAGGCACTGCTAACGAATGAACAAAATGACGAGTAAGACAATGAATAGTTCTCATTGATACATCACAAACATCTCCCCCTTTTTGCTTCAACTTAGAAATACCTCTAAAGTATTTAAGCTTTCGAAAGAGGGAGAGCCTAGATTACTAGCTCGCTAGTTTTCTAGACGGTCCCAAGCTCGGATAAAGAAGGTGGGTTTGGGCGTGGTGCTAGCAACTCCACCCTGAAAACTCAATCAAAATTGCTACGGAAACTTCAACGCAAATATATGTATTAAAATTACTGAAGGCTAGCACTGTAGTTATATCAAAATTGGATTGAAAATGAAATTTCGTCATTGATTGATTGATTCATTCATTCATTCATTCAAAAAATGGAGGATTAGTGCCCGGAAATAAGATAATATGTAACTTCTAAGCTGACTGTCAAGTCTATGCAATGAAATCTATTCGAAGGGTAACAATACGGTGGCTTACAATAACAAAAGTGTCCGGAAATATTTGCTTAAAAGAGAAACAAATTTATTTTTTGAAATAATAGAGACAATTTATAGCTCTCAGATGGCTGAGTTTGATGTGATTGTGCTTTCTCAACTGGCTGAAATAAAAAAAAGGTAATCAACGTTTTCGCAATGTGTCTTTTTCAATGAGTTACTGCCTCATCTTCAACCTGCTGCACCCTACTGGTTACGGCTTACCACTAGAATCCCAGCTTAACTGCCTGAATAAGGCCAGTCGCTAGTGAGCATCAGATCAATTTTCAAGTTTTGCTTTTTGTTGGGATTTTGTTTTATGCGGTAGAGGGATTCATTATGGAGAACCATTTTAAGTCATATCACTAATTGTCTCTCCAGCCGTCGGTTCTTACCATCCTGAGGACCCCACACAGTCAGGAAGTCTACAACCTTCCTTTGTGGCTGGCTTAAACTAACTCTTGGGGGGAATTCATTGAGCAATGAAGCCATGTTTTGGTTTGACTACCATTATCTTTTTTCAAACCTGATCAATCCTATGTCAGCTAACATTGCTTGTTGAGGAAGGCGGTGGGTAAGAATAGGAAACACATGTCCTAACCATCTCAACCGATGAAATTGCTTCACAACCTCGCCCATTGATTTCCCCATCCTTACCACCTAGAACTCGACGATGCGTAACCTCTCAATATTGGTCACTTATGATCAAAGACAGCTATCCAGGCTTTTCGTGTTTTCCACTTTCAATAGCCATGTCTCACAGTCATTCATAAAGGAGGATCTGTTGGACTGCTGAGCACAACAGTATACACGTCTTTTGAAATTGATAGCCAAATATCACGTCTACACTAGCGAGATGGTTTAAACTGGCTTATGCGAAGCAGGCCTTTTGTATCTATGCTGAGATATTTTTGATTACAGCTTGATTTCACACCGTATTTTTGGTACAGGTATGGAATTTTCAGCAGATGATATCGGTAGCCCAAATTTTGCAGGCCAACTATAGATATCAGGTTTGCGTCGGTGGGGGGGATCGAACCCCGAACCATGTGCATGATCGGCGAGCGTCATAACCACTGTGCCACCGACGCACATCATCTTCAGCAACCTGTTGCCTAGTAAAAGTGATGATGAAAATGAAGGTGGATTTTAGACACACACACACTGACGAAGAAGATCTTTGACGGACATAAGGCACTTATGCTCAGATCCTCTCTAGTGGAATCCAAATGTGAAAGGAGTTTGGTGTGTGCGCGCATGTGTGTTCAAGGGTCATATGAAGGAGATTGTGTAAGTCGGGGGGGGGGAGCGATGTGAACTTGTGCAGGGATCGTGCAGAGAATAGGTTGAAATGGATATGGCCTATATTAGATAGTTGGCGGCGATCTGCCACAG